CGAACGTTTTAGTTTTGGGTATAAATAATGATCCATTGATTATTCCTTAATGACCAAACTTTTCCTTTAGTCGAAATTGTGAAATGATGCATTTAGAAAGTCAACTTTTCTTTTTAGCTTTAATTTTTATTTCTGTTTGTAGTTGTTTTTTTATGGCTGTATAAGAATAATAGTATAAGAATATGTAGAATAATAAAAGCAGGTTAAAAGGTTTAATAAATGAATATTAAATCCTTTATTAAGTGTTTTACTGTATATTTAGTCTGCCTGGTGACACAGCAACAGAAACATGTTGTTTACAAACATGATATCAGGGCGGGAATGGGGGGGGGGGGGGCAGGAAAAAGTTTTATTAGTCACTGGGCGCCAATAGGAACGCGCGCCCTGTTTGGCCCCGCCCCCTCTGAGCCCGGCTCGCTTAAAAGCGCGAGCCCCTCATCCTGAGGCTCACTGTTCATCACTGAGGCTTTAATCCGGGATATAATCTGATCAACTGGTGACGTCATGAAGTCCCCGAAGCTGCAGGCTCCAGGTAGCTCAAGTTCATTTCCTTATTTGATGTTTTCCCGCTTCTTGTCCTTCTGAGGATCTAAAGCGCAGAGCTGACAGCTCCTCTTCCTCCTCTTCATCCTCAGCGAAGTTCGTGAAGGAGGAGGACCTGAGCGACGTCCTGTGCGAATTCGACGCGGTGATCGAAGACTTCACGTCGCCCGTGGAGAAGCGACACTTTCGGTACGACGAGCACCTGAAGACGGTGAAGCGGAGGAGCTGCGCGAGCGTCAGCGACAGCGGCATCAGCGACACTGACAGTGAGTCAACAGCCAGACCATCATCCTGTCCTCCGCTCTGATCCCTGATCCGCTTCTTTCCAGGGTGGTCTGCAGTTTGAATGATGGCCGCACTGGAAAAAACATCTAGAAATAAGCAACATTTTTTAAATTAAGTGTTTTTATCATTAATTTGAGCAGGTAAATGAGTTAATTTGCCAATGGAATGATTATTTTTACTCTTAAAATAAGATAATTAGATAAAAGGCACTTGAACTAATACAATGTAATTGTGTTTTCTTATTCTAAACGTAAATTGTCTTGTTCTATTGGCAAAGTGTATCTTTTACCTCCTCAATCCAAGAACAAATGCACTTATTTTAAGAAAAAATGACTTATCTAGATTAAGATTTTTTTTCCAGTGCGCTGACACTATCCATTAAATAGAAGCTCCTGATTGGTTAAAAGTTCCTCATCTTCTTGTTCTTCAGTGCAGACTAAGTTACATGTAACACTATGAGGTTCTTCTTGAAATAATTGTATTTTCCCTTCATTTGAGCAGCTGTATAAGAAGGTTTAATGACAGAAGGAGATGATTTACGTTTTATAAAAAG